ATCTCACAAGACTATGTTACAAATCGAGACAATCTATGTTAAGTACTGTGCAATGCAAGGATCATTACTCCACTCACAATGTCAGTGCCAGCCGAGGTCTTCACCACAGGCCTGAATGATGCCTGCCACCTCCAGTCCAGCCTCTCCCTTCCCCAGGCTCAGCCTACTTCTGATGCAAGGCCACATCCGGCTACTAGATCATCCCTGTTTAAAAATTATATATGTACTACTCAACTGCTATGGAATAACAGCCCTCTATTTTCTACTAGGAAACCCTGGTGGCATACTGGTTAAGTGCTACGGCTGCTAACTAAAAGGTCAACAGTTCAAATCCACCAGGCACTCCTTGGAAACTCTACGGGGCAGTTCTACTCTGTCCTATAGGGTCGCTATGAGTCAGAATCGACTCGATGGCAATGGGTTTGGTTTGGTTTATTTCCTACTAGGAGCCCTGATGGTGCAGTGGTTAGCAGCTTGAACCTACCAACCACTCTGCAGGAGAAAGATGTGGCAGTCTGCTTCCGTACAGAATACAGCCTTGGAAACCCTACGGGGCAGTTCTACTCTGTCGTATAGAGTAGCTATGAGTCAGAATCAACTCAGTGGCAACTGGTTATTTTCTACTACAGAAGTCCCCGGGTGATAAAAACAGTTAACACATTCAGCTGGTAACCAAAAGGTTGGAGGTTCAAGTCAACCCACAGGGACCTTAGAAGAAAGGCCTGGCAACCTACTTCCAAAACATCAGCCACTGAAAACGTAACAGAGCACAGTTCTACTCTGATGCACATGGGGTCACCATGAGTCGGTAAATCTACTCGATGGCAACTGGTTTATTTTCTCCTACAAGGGGACACACAAATGCCAAAGAGGCCAATCAGGTAATGTAATCAAGTGAAGTAAGTTGGCTATAGGAAAAATCCCATGGTCCATTAGACAGGAACATGCATGAGCACAGTGAAATATTTCTCCACCAATGGGTATGTGTTGTTTGTGTGTGTGTGAGAGAGAGAGAAAGAAAGAGGGACAGAAGGGGAGGAAAAAAGAACACTCCTGAGCAAATGCAAGGAAAAATGGCAAATGACAGTGCCATCAAGTAAGGAGACAACAGGAAGTGGCAGGCTCAAGCAAGAACATGGGCAGCAGCTATTCAGTTGCAGGTGGTCATTGCCTTGGAGGATGGCAGACTCACGGCTGCTACCCATATCCATTGCCGTGGAGTCAATTCCGACCCGTGGTGACCCCAGGTGTTACAGAGTAGAACTGCTCCACGGGGCTTTCTTTGCTGTAATCTTTATGGAAGCAGATTGCCAAGCCTTTCTTCTATGGCACTGCTGTGTGAGTCTGAACCACCAACCTTTAGGTTAGCAGACGAACACAAACTATTTGCACCACCCAGAGACTTTCAGGGCGGCTAAATGTTCACATTTACAAAGACATCAAAAATCTGAAATTTTACATAACATTTCCTAAATTTTTAAATAGATGCTGGTTCAAAAAAAAATAGTTTTAAATATAGGGAGGGTCTAACAAAACATAACATGGGCTGGCAGTTTTGAGATATCTCCTGAACACAAAGTAAGATGCCAATTTCATTTTTGAAAGAAAAGGAGAGGAAACTACACCAAAATATTACTAATGGTGAGAATAGGATGATTAAAATTTCTCTTTTTTTAAAAACAGGGAAAAAGGAAAGCAAAACAAATGAAAAGATCGTACCTAAGAAGAGGACTCAGCATCCTCCAGGACAAAGAAAGATACAAGAGAAGGAAAAGAGCCACTGAGCAGAAATAAGCTGTTCTGGGAGACACTGACAGAACCAGTGCTTTGAACCAGTTTGTTCCAGTTCAAGCCCCTGCTGACAATCTGTATTTCTAACAAGTTCCCACGTGATGCTAATGCTACTGGTTAGGAACCAATTCTGAGAACCACTAGCAGCAGTTCTCAAATTTTATTATACTTAAGAATCACCTAGGGGTCTTGTTAAAATGTAGATTCTGATTCAGTATATCTGGGGTGGAAATGCAAATTCTCGGCAAGGGTTCAAACCAGAACGAACTAGTTCAAAGCCCTGGATAGAACAAACAATGGGAAGGTTGGCATGATTATAATAAAAAAACACTTTCTTTAAACACAATGCAAAGTTTAAGTTAAAACAGACACACACACAGCAAGAACAAAACATTTTAAGACTAGAAATTGAGAGGGTTCTTACAGATATAAAATAACCTTTTTCTGGGGGTACAGATGAAAACTCAAACTAAACTAGATCAAGGCATATTTTTGAAGTCATTTTTACAAGGAAGAAAAAATACAACAATGAAAAAACAATACAAGCAACCAAACAACCAAACAGAAGAAACTCTATCAGATATTCCTGATTTTGAAAGGGATAAAATGAAAGCTTGGAGATAGCCACAATAACATCCATGAAATGAGCACTACTGATGTTGGATTGGTTAACATTAGTTACACAGCCTGGTAAAGCGAAGAAAATAAAAACCTCTTGGGGCGGGGAAGCAGATAAAAATAACTACTTTGTATTACTAATTATTAGAAAACTTCAAAATGCACTGCCCACATTTGAGATTTGTGTAGATGAAAACCATCTATGCACCAAAAGGCATGGTGGAAACATACAAAGAAGTAAACACTAAATCAAAAGAGGAGAAAAGATAAAACATAACAAATATAAAGCACCCCCAACCCCTACATGTCAGGTGCCAGGCAATGAGCTAAAAGTTTAACAGGTATTATCTCATTTGATCCTCTCAACCATTTTACAATGTGTCATTTCCATTTTACATATGCAAACACTGAGGCTTAGAGAGGTTTAAGGAACTGGAACTTAATCCCAAGTGTGTTCGACTTCAAAACCGGCGCTTCATGATATGACACCCCATCTGCACAATGCATACTATATACCAGTTTGTCCTGTGTTAAGTCTATGAAGCACTTGAGAATACACAATATACATTACACCTACAACAGCAGTGAAAGGGAAGAAATATTTCATTTTTACAAAGAAACTTGACGCCAGGAACATTTTTCTGGGTTTCCATGTCACACCTCTTTAATCATTCATTTCCAGGTCTCTTAAATACTAGCGGCTCCATGACTCTGTCCCTGTTCTTTTCTCTCTGTATGCTCCCCTCCACTCTGGGCAAATTCATCCATACCTATGGCTTTGACACTGTGATGAATACGAAATCTTAACTCTAGCCCAGAGTTTTTTCCTGAGTGCTGTTATTGTTGTTGTTAGGTACCGTGGAGTTGATTTCAACTCACAGAGAACCCATGTGACAGAGTGGAACCGTTCCACAGGGCTTTAGTGGCTGTAATCTTTATGAAACCAGGTTGCCAGGTCTTTCTCCTGCTGAGCCACTGGGTGGGTTCGAACTGCTAACCTTTCGGTTAGAAGCTAAGACTTTAATCATTGTGCTACCAGGGCTCCTTCCTGAGTGCTACAGCCCTATTTCTAATTTCTTATTGGAGTTTTTTACATTGAACTATCCCCAAAACACCACATTCAATGAGTCTAAAACCAACTATCTATCACACCAAGCCTGCTTCAATTCCTGCATTTACTGTCATTAACTGCATTATCACCCACTCAACCTTTCACCTAGCAAATGTTCAGAGTGCTGCAATGTGCTCAATGAAGCTCCAAAGTAAGCACAGCATGATTGCTGTCCTCAAAGAGTTATGGTCCTGTGATGGAGACAAGCCTAAATGGATACTTATGTAAGACAGGGACATATAAAGAGAAGTTATTGGGGAACAAAGTCTAAGGGACATTTCTTGGAGATGACTCTTGAGCAGAGTCAAGGGGAAGACCAAAGGAGGGTGGAGGCACGGGATGTGCATCAAAGGTAACAGCATATATGCTGAATGAATGAGTTTAGTTAGCAAGTCCTTTTGCCCTTAATTCTAAAACTCTTCGATGCATGCCCTCTCATATCCGCTGCCTTCTTTATTTCTCACCTAGACTACTCTAAGTCTTACCTGCCTCTAGATGGCCACCATTTTCATGTTTAAAATTCTTTATGGCATAAAAGTTTTTCATGATTTTCTCTAAACTTACTATTCCAGCTTCATCTTCCTCCATTCTCACATCTGCACCTTCACCTCCAGATCTGTCTAGACGCACTTCATAGAACTCATCAGGCTCTCCGAACTTTCCATATGCTATTCTCTCTTGGTTTTCCTTCCTCTACTTGTTTGTATGGTAAACTTGAAGACTCAGTTCAGGGTGAATCTCTCTATAAAGCCTATCCAGATCTGCCACATCCTCACTCAGTACTCCTATGTTACTTTGTATTATTATACTATTTCTACTATCATACATATTAACTTTTATAGGACCTATCACACTGTACTAAAGCTGTTTACATGTTAGTTTTGCTCTCAAACAATGAGCTCCTTCAGGGAAAGTGATTTTACGTGTTTACATACACACAGCTGTACATATATGTATGTACGTATTGCAAGTGCCTACCAAAACCCTTGGAAAGCAGACGATAGCCCATTAACATTCGCTGGATGGATGGATAATATTAAATAAGATGAAAATAGCATTACTAAAAAATGATGCTACACAAAGGAACAAAATAAAGAAAATCTGTCACTGTATAAAAAGTCACAGAAATCTAATTATAGCAGAAAACTTAAGAACCTACTATGAATATATCACATATTAAATGGAGTAAATATTAATAAGAACATTAGAACAATTTAATCAACTGAAAAAACCTAAATCATCATAAGAGCTGAATACTTTTTTAAGAAATGTATCCTTTGATCTCTCTTTTGTAAAACTGTATAATATAGGTGAATTCTGCTTTTCTTTTGAAAGCACTTTTTTTAAAATGAGGGAAAGTTCTAGGAGAATTTGGCTTTGAAAATATATATTTAAAATAAAATAAGGTGGTTGAAATTTAATATTCTCCAGTTTTTTTGTTTTTTTTTTTTTTTAAGGCAAAACGAAGAATATTCTATACCATGTTTGCTGGAGTTTTGATCCAAAGATGTGTTCACAGAAATGCTGTCCACTGTAGTCCACTTCCTTAGTCTTGACTGTGGCTCTTTAATACTGTTCATATCCATATTTACATTCAAGTTTGAGTTCAAGCCTTAAAAATATAAAAATTTTAAAAACTTATAAAAATACAGCACGTTCCTTCTGGTACCACAACTTCTATTTTCTAGAGAAACAATAAGTAACGAATCTAATGTTTTCAATCTTGCTCAGTGTTCCTTAATAAATACCATCCTGCAAATGTGGCGCAGCCAAATGATAACAGACAAAAGAAAGGCAGTCAGGACAGACACGCTGGGCTCCTGGCCAAGGTCATCCGAGACAGAAACACATACTATCATAAATACTCTAGCTTTCAATAGTACACTGTTTTCAAATCATAAAATTGTTAGTACTCTAATTACCTTAACTATGGAAAGCTATTTCTCAATATAATTTTGATTATTTTTAAATACCTTGGCAAAATAAGAGGAAAAAAAAATTTAAGGAGGATAAACTGTAAAGTTTAGAGCTTACAATAAAATATATATGATTAGCCAATTCCCAAAGGTACCATGCAAGAAGAGTTCTACACAAACGGAACAATTTTTACTGGCTGACCAGTCAAAGGATGTCATTATTTAAAAGTAAAAATGTCCTGCTTCAGCGATCATCCCTAAAGGGAAGACTCCCATATTCTAACGCACTATTTACTTGAACTTTGATGATATGACGACGCTTTTCAGACTTAGATACTCTCTTGGAACAAGGACAGGAATTTCTATCTTAGATACTGCAGTCAGAAAACTAACGATTAAACTAATGTTTCTAAAAGTGTGATCCAGGGACCATCAACATCAGCATCATCTGAGATGCTTCTAAAAAATGGTTTTAAATTCATGGTTCTGATGAGAGTGTAAGTGATATTAAGTTTTTCAAACGTAAAAGTTTTAATAACATGAATTCTCCAGTATCATCCCAGTATCTGCAAATAGTAGTAAAATATGCTGCTCTCTGGATGCATCAATTAGACTAAGGGTTGCAAAACTTCTTCTGTAAAGGGCTAGACAGTAAATACATTAGGCTCTGTGGACCATAAGGTCACTGCTGCAACTACGCAACTCTGCCCCTGCAATGTGAAAGCAGCTACAGAAAATACATTAATGAAAGGGCACGGCCATGTGCCTGATTTAGGCAATTGTACTGGTGTTTGCATCGGCTAAGCAGACTGTCTTAATTAGGACGAAGTATCCGTGGCTGAAAAGCCAGCCAGGATAGGAAGTCCCTTATTTGGAAACTTATCTTCCCACTGGCTCAATTTATATGTCAAGTGTGTCCCCTTCAGTGGTGAAACCAAAATCTCTCAGTGTACCTGGATATGCCTTTACTATTAGCCTGCTGTCTCTGGGATCACCTGGGCACCATCAGATGCCTTCCTATGGTATTCGCCTCCAATGGTAACTGACAAAGGAACTACTTCTGGAAATGTAAAGTATAAAGAGATCGCTAACAATCCCAAGGCCTCAAAGTGCAACTTACGTCTTAGCTGAGAGAGAGTACATGGCAGTACCAGGGAGAGCCAAATCATGTATCAGCTCCGTCACAGAGCAAAGCAGCAGCGGGGGCAAGACCAGGACCCACCCACTACCCATTGCCCAGAATGTGCTAATGTGCTAGTTAACTGCCTTCAACATGGTTGAGCTGGCAACCAACAAATGTTTACAAGAAACCATTGTAAGGGAAAAGAGAAAGAAAAAAGCAGGGTGTGAACAATTGAGGGTTAAAATATAATCAAAGGCACAACAAGAAAAGAGACTTAAGAAAGGAGAAAATATACAAGTCTGTAATTTCCATGGGAGAAACAGAATAACAGCCCGGACACATAGTAAAAAAAGGAAAGCGGAAGCTGCTGCATGTAAAGGCAATCCTACAAATGTGACCTTTTCCAGTTGTTTCCCCAAAGCACTGCTGCTCAAAATTTCTCTGGTGTGCTGTTTCTAATAATTGAAGCCTTTTCCTCTCCTTCATATTCTATAATTAAGATATGTGGGTCTGAAAAATAAATGTTTCCTTTATTTTAACCCACTTAAAATGAGTGTAGAATTTTGAAATAGTATGATTTTCTTGACTGGAGAGAGACCTTCCCTGAAGCGTGATGATGGGCTAAACCTAGAAGATGCCTAAGGCAACTCTCAGTGAGGAAGCAGCTAATGTAGCTTTCACATGGGAACAGAACTATAAAGGCAAGAGAGAAGGATGCAGAGTTGAGATACCCATGCATCAGCTGAATGCTTTGGAAAAGCAGAAACCTACCTATAGGGAAGTTGCTGAAAGCATTTATTGGTGATGGCCCTTTTTGCAGCTCAGGTGTAGTGTGGGGCATAACATTTTCAAGGAACGATTTCATGGCTGGCTGATGGAGCGACTGCTGCTGAGATGGCGGAGTCGGTTGCTTCACCAACAGGTTTGGATCAAGTTGACGAGACTGTTGCATTATTTGCTGCTGCACACTAAGAGGTCGACCCTTGGGAAAGGTGATGGAATAAACAATTGGAAAAAAGTCTTTACAAATACACACATTTTCTCTTCACGTCTGAATTCACTTCCTTCTCACAGGAAGGTGAACAATCACAGTATACTAGTTAATTCGACTTCCGGGCAAAGAGCAGACTTAATAAATGACATATTCAATTATATTTTAATATAAGAGTCCATTTTAATCAGATGTTTTAAGTCCCTTGTTATAATTGAACTGATATGAGCTGAGTTTATTAAAACAAAGAATAATACTGCCAAGTAGAAGATCTGATCTACCTGCTGGTCTTGCTGCTGCCGGTTACCAGAAGGCACGCTTCTCTGACTCTGCGCCCTTTGCTGTTGATGCGCTAACAATCGCTGAGGAAAGATTGCAAGGAGGTTGTCATTACCACGCCATTATATTTGAAGACGCTTCACAACGACTATGGCAGGCTGACCTACAAAGGCATGGCTTGATCCAGCCAACATCTCCTGTCTCATCTAGTACACTCTCATCCTTGGATTCTTTGATCTATATAGCCATTCTGCTAAAATTCAGTCTTCTGTTTGATCTAAACATTCACATCATCAGGGAAACTTTTTCTGATCACCCTACCCACTTCTACCACCCCAGACTTGGCTGGGCCTCCTCTCACAGCATCCTGCACTTATTTGAAACGCTCCTCACACATGCTTACAATTTGTCTTCCTGGTAGACCACAAGCTCTATGAGGACTATGACTGTGCCTGTTTTGTTTACTGCAGTACTTCCTGCATAGTGCCTAGTGTTTAGCATACAGTAGACACTCAATAAATGTGTACTGACTATAGCTATTGATCTACTTACCTGTAACTGGGAGATCTGAGAAAGCTGGTTTAGTTGGGATAGCTGGTTCAGCATGGCTACCTGTTGAGGGCCAAAGAGCGGATTCAGGCCACCGTTGTTTGGTGCATACTTCAGCAATGAAACTGGAACCTTAGGATCACAATGGTAAGTTAATAACAGTGATAAAATAGCCCAAACTAGCTAAATGTACTGGGTGTTTTAAATTATCAATAGAGCAATTTGAGGACTACTTGTTTAGAGAGTTATTTTCTTTCTTTCACCTATTTATTGTTCACATATACTTTCATGGGTTACATAAAGTGTGACAAAAGATGCATATTAAACCAGTCAACTTTACTTTGCTATTGTCCTCCTCCCCAAAATGTTTCAATGAAGAGAACGGTAAATTTTAGATTTCAATTGTCTTTGGCTCATTTTTTTCATCCTTCCTACATCCTTCTGTAACAACAGCTAACTGAGAATCAGCTGCATCTGAAAGATGCCAATAAATACTATACTCAACCAGTCATCTCATTCGAATATAAAATTATTCAAGGTTCTATTCCAGGTAAATAGAAGAGAATATAACGGAAGCTTTTTTACCTGAGGGGAGAGTAATGGAGGAGGCACTTGAGCACGGAGATTAGGCTGAGATGAACTAAGAGGTTGTGCTGGAGGCTGCTGCATGCCCCGGGGTTGTGCTGCTGTGTTTCCAACACCAAACATACTGGGATTGCCATTCTACAAAAACAAACAGTAACAAAAATACCAGTGAGATTCTTCAGAGACAAACATCTCATTACCACATGGTATTGCTGATTTAAACACAGAAGTACACATAAGAGATCTTATTATTTATACAAATCATTCAACAGAGAGCCTAAAATACTCATGTGGACTTACCTGTCTAACAGAATTCAAGTTTTGCATACCCAGCCCTGCTATGGAGCCAAGGGCCTGGTTAGGTAGTGCACTATTTGAAGGGGGAAGCTTCATGCTTTGACTGGACATAAACTGCATGTTTTGGGATTCATCTGCTACAATGCCATCCTGATTGGACAGACAGAAAGATGTGCAACACCAGCCAAGCAAGCAAGTAGAAGGGAGAAATCATTGCAGGAACAGAAGAGAAGTCACATGACATTCCAGCATCAACAGGAAACAGGTAGAAAACAGAAGAGATTAGATTAGTGTTAATTCTAGAGTAGATAAAAAGAACCAAACATATTTTAGGGGATTAAGAAGAAAATACGAATGCAGTTACTAGGTTAAACTGAGACATAAAAAAAAACAAACTACAAATCCAGTCACATTTTATATTATATAAAATGTTCTAAAATAGTAATGTGAAAATTATGCTATTAAATCTATTTGTTTATTAGCCACAGGGGGGAAAATAACCCAAACAAAACGTACCTTGTCAAAATAAGGACTGCGCTCCATGGAAGACTCTTTGGAAATCTGAGGCCGAGAACCAGGGCCTTTCCCCACCGCTCGATTGTAATCACCAATATTTAGGTTATGTTTATCTATCTCCATTCGTTTATCCTGTAACATTCCTAACAATGGCAAAGGAAAACATCGTCAAGCAGGAAGACAAACTAATTGGTTTCAGATAAATTTACGGTAGAAAGCAAAATACTCATTTTCCAAACTGAAATAAATGATTTCTTCCTTGATGAGAACTGGTAAAAAAAAAAAAAAAAAATGCACCCGCATTTCATAAATATGGCATTTCCTTGGATACACCAAGGCACAATCATTATCTTAGTTTTTTGACTCTATAAACTCACTCCCCTTAGAGACTTCATTCACTATTATTAACAGTCACCTCCATTAAGTGACCCTCAAATATAAATATCTAGCTTTGACTTCACTCCTGAGCTCAGTCCCACATCTTCAACTGCTGCTAAGCATAACCACTCAAATGCCTCACTGTCCCTTATAACACAGGTGAAACCAAGCACATGGTATTTCCAATCAGATCTGTTCCTCCTTGGAACTTGAAAGCTGCAGCTTCATTCTTCCAATCACGAAGTTTAAAACCTTGGTTTTTGTCTTAAGAAAGCATCCTTTTTTTCATCTTCCCATTTCTTCATTCTTCACATTTTCTCCATCTTCAAATCTCATTGTTTATTTGCAATTGCTGTTTTTTTGAGATATCTGCCACTCACCACCACCGTGACTTATTACCCTCATTCCAGGCAGGTGGAAAGGCATGAAGCAAAGGCTGATAACAGTACAATGCATCAATATACCATTTCTATTTTACTTAACTTCCTTTAAGAGAATGTCATTTGTCTACATCATTTACACAACTTGATAGGAATTAGGACCTTTTTTTTAAAAAAAAAAAAAAAAACAAAGGAAAATGTTCTTAAAATAGATACATAAAATGCCTTTAGTTTTTGGTAGTACTGTTCCAACTATGGGTCAGATATCTAATAAGCTATCTTTCAGCACTTGTAAGAGCCCTCCTTTGAATATCAATAACGCTTTTGCAACAACTTCCTCTGTTCTCTCTCTCCCTATTAATGGTATCATTCTTCACTGATATGCCCAAGCCAGCCATCTTGAACTCTTTCCCTCACTCTCCACAACCAATCCTGTAACCAAATCCAGTCAACTTTCCTCCTCCCAAGTCTCTCTAGCCTATTGACAGTCCACATTATTTTTGCCTACCCTAATATATTTTTTAAAAAGAGTATCATGCTACATCTTCTTCACAAATGTCCCCCAACACTTCTGCATCCTTTTGGAAACTATCAAAGTGCCAAGTGTGGCAATCTTGCTTAACCTACCAGTCCTCTTATAAGGCCCTTGGCTAAAGTTACCAATGACTCACTCCTCACCCTCAAGAGTCAAATTCATAACCTGACAACCATTCTCTTTTCAAAACTCTATGCTTGCTTGGCTTCTGCAAAATCACTCTATTCAACTCTAACTTGTCTCAATTCCCACAATCTTTCCTTAAATGTCATCATTCCCCCAAAACTCTGACTTTGGTTCATTACTCTCTGGTCAAACTATTCTTGTAGCTTTTGCTAGCAACCATGTTTAATTAGTTACAAATTCATTATCTCTAGCCCTATCTCTCCTGAGTTCCATATCCAGATTTTCTAGCTTTTGCTGGTTATCAGGATGTAGTTTGCGTAGCAACTTCAAACTCAGTTTCTTATATTTCTTATCTCAAATAATGCCTGTTATCATTATTATCTCTCAGCGCCAAATTCACCGTTTTTGACTGCTCCATGAAAATAAATCTGGGCTCTTTATGTATTTTTCCCTTTGCCAGCTGACACCAACGGTTTGTCAGTAGACGACTCTGGAGAGACACTGAAGAAAGAAAAGTTTTTGCTTCCTAGTTCCAGTGTGTTCACTTGGCAGGCTTCAGGCAGTGCTCACAGATTCCCCAGTCCGGCTCTTGCAGCACTAAGTGGCCAGTAGCTTCTCCCAGCATTCCCTCATACCTCCAAGCAGTTTGGTAGGAGAGTTCCTCTAGTGACACAACTCCTCACAAATGGCTTTTCCCAGGGCCCTAAAGGACAGATCTACAGCAAGCTCCACTAGCATACTACCTCAACAACTTCTCAGTGAGCCATAAACGAGGCAGAAATTTGTCAAAGAACAGACACGTATTCTGGATATGGGTTGTCTATCCTGCCTGTACAGTTTCAGCCAGGACTCCAATCCACAGTCTTACAGGATGCCTTATCCACTGCCGAGACAGCCCTCACAACATTGTGCCTAACTAAGGTACTTACTTCACAGCAAAGCAACTGCAACAATGAGCTCATGCCTGTGGAATTAACTGGTTTTATTATATATTCCATCACCTGAAAATGGCTGGCCAAACTGAAAAATAGAATGGCTTACTGATGACTCATAAATGTATGTAGATTTGGAAGCTGAGTAGTCAAAGGGGTTAGGTGAACTGGGCCCATACTGATTTATTCTCTTTCTACCCCAAATTCACCCTTTTTAATTGCTCTGTGAAAATAGATCTGGGTCCTTTATTTTTCTACACCAGGTGGCATCGAAACCGTGTCAGGAGACAGCACTGGAGAGACAATGCAGGAGGAAAAGTTTTTTTCCTAGTTCCAGTGTGTTCTCTGATGCAGCGCAGGTGGCTTGTCCAGCATCAGGCTCACCCAATGTCCGGTAGCTTCCATAGGCAGCCCCTCTGGTTTTGTAGCCGAGTGCCTCCAGTGAGACACCTCTCCGTGAACTGCTTTCATCAGTATCTTACAGGGTGGATTCACTGCAATTCCACTGGATGGCGCCACAGTGACTTCTCTGCCAAGCACTGAGCCACGGCCATGCCTTTGGTGGTGGGGTGAAGGCTCTGCATTGGACAGGCTATTTCAGTCCTAGGGTGAGTAACTTCCCCTTATATCTACTATTCATATATTCTTTAGAGTTCTCTTACTTGTCAATCCCTTGTTACTCTAATTCCTTGTTATAGTTAATAATTCTTTATATTAAACTTTCCCTGTTCAAATTACTGTGAAGTTTCTCTCTCTTGAAGGGACTCACAAATAGGATAGCACTGCCGTCTACCAAACTGTCCAGGCAAGAAAACTAGGAGTTTATCATGCTCTCTCCCTCACCTTCCATAATAAATTGGTTCAAACCGCTTATCAATTTTTGTTGATTCTACTTCCTTTATCTCCAGTGAATTACGTTCTTCCTATTTACTGTCTCAGGTCAGGCTCTGAAACTTCTCACTGGCTATAGTAACAAATCTCTACCTGGTTTTGCTATTTTTAGTCTCTTTTTGTCTGTCTTCTGCTGCCAATGCTTTTTCTCCTCATATATTTTCAATCTATAACCAAGACTGTTTTTCCAAAATATAAATCCAAATCATGCCACTCCCCAGTTTAAAATTCTTTAATGTCTTCCCATTACTTTCAGAATAAAATTCAAACCCCTAACCACCCCATGATTTAACACCTACCTTGTTTTCTACCCTCTTCACTTATCTTTTACCGTTAACCCTGACTACTCCACCTCATTTAGCATTTTTTGGTCTTACTATGTGGAACTACATGCAATTTCTCCAGTGTGGTTTTAGATGTCTCTGGGCCTTTGTACATGATGTTCCCTGAACCCAGAAGACTGAATCTCCCAACCAGGATAACTCATTCTTGACATGACTATATCTGAGGTAACCATAAGACTAATATCACCACACTACCTTAGACTTGCAGTGATTTGCAGTTTAAAAGACACATTACCTAGTTCAATCACACTGTTTTAATGTATGCTGGAGAGGACAGGAACATTCCAATAGGAGCCCACGTCTCCTCTCTCCTAGTCTGGGTCAGTGTTTTATTTTTATTTGTATTATTTTTAGTAGGAGCACATCACTGATATGCTTCTCTATCAGTGGTGAATATAAACTCAAACTGATTTAATTTTTTTCATCTTACCTCCAGAAAGGTCCATCTTATTGCTCTGTACATTTTCTTCTGGTGAGTCTCTCTGAAGTAAGAAAAAGCATGTTAGCAGACCTTAATTTAGCAATGAAAACAAATAACAAATGAATTTTACTGTATTTCATTATTTGTGAAATCAAGTAAATCATATAGCTTTATTTTTCATTGCCTGATATTTAAAAAAAAAAAAAAAAAAAAAAAATCAATGTTTTTAGCTATATGACTCCCAAACCACAAAAATAAAGATGGTTTGAAGGCCAATACTCCAACTTCAAGAACAATCATAACTACTTAAAGACAAAGAATATTCGTTAAGAAAACAAAACAAAAACGATATTAAGGGAAATGTATGGACCACTATTAAAAGGGGGGAGGGGACTGCTAGTAAAACCTACTTACCGAAAAACTGATATTTGAAAACTGTTTAACAAATGGATTTATCCATGTTTCTTCTTGTTTGTTTCCACCTTTCATCATTCCCTTTGTAAGATAAAAGAGTAGAAAAGATGCCATGGCCATCTCTATTTATCTGGGTATAGTGATGGATTAATAAAACTTAAAGACAATTCCCAATTCTCATTATTAGTCAATAATTTCTCCTCCAACCAACTTTTATCAGAGTTGTAACAATTAAAAATCAACTTATTTGATTTTCAACTTCCTTTGCTCCAGTCCTCTGGTATAGCTGTAATGTATACAGAAATCTCTAAAGGCAAGCAGTCAGAAGGAACAGACAGAAGCAAAAGGCCTGGATGACCCACAAAAAGAAAAACAGGGCCTCTGGATAATGGAGCACTGACTAACAGGCAGTTTCGAACGTACAAATGGACTGTGTTCTAAAAGATTATCATTTTGGACTTTTGAAATTCTCACACCGAAACAAAGTAAAAATGGTGATCGGGTTCTCAGGTTAGTCCAAAGAAACCAATTTAACCTCTAATTTAATTATGCTGGATGAACTGTACTGAAAAACTGTCATGTATTTCTATACGAAAAATTACTTTAAATTTTCAATTGTGTCGTCTAGAACATAATAACCTCAGCAGTAGCCGGAGCTGGGATTCCTCCCGCTAGTGCTGGCTTCCTGTGGCTGGTTGGGGTATGGGCGCGACAGGAGCTACACTGAGACATGAACTGAGAGAATGAAGGGTCTGTGATTAGCAGTCTGGTGGATAGGGAGGCTGTCAACCATAAGGACCAAGGTCTCTCACTTATGTGAAGATCACAGGACCATTCTCAGTCTGTGGCCTTAACGTCCCTTTCCCATTGCTAACACCTGTTCCTTTTGACTGTGGAACAAAACACAGCTTCATAGTTTATCCCCTAAATGCATGTCTCTGAAGCAAGCACCTAACCCTTTCCGAGGTTTCTGAAGTCATCTTTGAATCCTTTTCCTCTTTTACCCCCGCTCCCATGTCTAACTAGTTACCAAGTCCTTCTGTCCCTTCTATTCTGAAATGTCTCGCCAATCAGTCCATTCCACTGTACATTCATTGTTTCTTCCCAATTCAGGCCTTCATTTCTAACCTGAATTAATGCAGAGGCTTCCTGACTGAGACACATAACTCCGGTCACTATCATTGATTAGCTTTCTTGAAAAAATTTTAAAAAACAAAACAAAAACTATCTCTTGCTACTTAACTTTATACAGAATTAAGTTCAAAATCTTTGGAATGGTACTGAAGGCATTTTACAATCTGTCCATTATCTAACTATAGAGCCAGAATTTCTTGTCCCTTCTTCCTAGAAAGTCTACATTTTAGTTATACTGGTTCACTATTTCCTTAACACATACCACCCCCCAGGCATCTTCCAAACTCAAGCTGACACTCTTATGAAGCTCTCCTAATGCCCCATACTAGACTATCAGCTTCCTGAAGGTACAGCTCATATCTTAGTGTTTTTGAATCCCCAGCACCAAGCACAGTACCTGGCACACAGCAGAGGCTAAATATATGTTTGCAGTTGCTTTCTAAAGATTTTTACTAGTAGAAACAAAGGAGAAAGAGTAAAAAGGCTACACACCCTTTCCCTTCTCCTTTTTTTGCCACTCAGACCCTGTAAGGAAAGACAAAGTCACAAAACAGCATGGTCCAGTGGGAAGAACACAGGGTTGGAATTGGAAGACCTAAACTTAAGCCCTTGCTCTGTCACTTACTAGCTATGCAACTTTGGGCAAGTCACCACCTCTTCCAGTCTCAACCTCCTCATTGGTATACTGCCTCAAAAGGATTAAATGGTATGTAAGATATGTAAAAGCATTTCATAAGCTATAAGGCAAGGCGGTAGGCAAATTCAGCCAAACGAAAAATGGCAGGTCCTAGACTTAGAATCCCAGGATTAAAATGGAGGAACCTTGGCAGACAGCTAATCCAGCTACCCACTGGATATTTTACTTCTAAGGTTCCTCAAAAAGCAATCACTCCCAAATAGGGTGGGGAGGGATATATTAGAATCACCTGGGAAACTGGGCATGTATTTTAAAAAATGGCTCTAAATTAGTGGTTCCCAAACCTGGCTCTGCACAAGAAACATTTGGGGAGCTTGTTTTGGACAAGAGGCTGGATCCAATTTCCAAAACTTCAGTAGCCTGGGGTACAAGAAGCTGTACTTCTAACAAATGCCGTATGATTCTGATGTACAGCCTGGTTTGGGAATAACATTTGTCCACATATCAAAGCAAATTCAAACTCAACCAATCTAGGGATTTCTGTCACAGGACCTTTGGGATGGCGAAGGGACAAAGATGGGGAATGACTAAGGAAGATGGTGACTCTGGGTAAAGGGGCGGTCAGGGACTCCACGTGAAGAGGTGGAATGGGAGATGAACTGGCAATGGGATGGAAAGAGTCAACATGGAGATTTTCCCTTCTCTTCATCCTCACCACTGCAGGCATCACCCTGGGATGAAGGGTTGTCCCAGGCAGTACTGGTAGAGGCGGAGGAGGAGAGAAATCCCAAGCTGTAGCAGTGGGGAGAAAGGAAGTTCCTGTGATCTTATGTTTTGCTAGGTGGCTGTCCATACAAGAGGCTATACTAAGTTGGTGACTGCCTGGACTGTACTAATTGCCATAAATGGGCAGGCAGAACATTAATTTTCTGTGGGTAAACTACCTTTGGAATTTAAAGCTTCAAGGGCCTTGCCCTTGAAATGTTTACCTTCGATGACATTTTCTTTGTATATGGTGGCCAATTTAAAGATGAGTTGAGCTCTTGAGATGAATTACTATTCCACATTCCAATCTCTACATCTTCTTCTTCTTCCCAGCCAGTGGGACGATTTCCAGGCAATGGTATATCATCACCACACCAGCCATCTTGCATAGATTTTGGCCCTGTTTGTGAATTTATGATACAAAGAGAAACATGCTTTAATAAAGAGGTTCTACCTGGAGGAAAGAATTAAAAAAGGTGGGGGTGGGTCCCCAAAAAAACCTCACTTTTATTTCTTTTCCCAAATCTGCACAGTAGGAATATATGTTTTATACTAAGTTTAACGTCCCATCAAAGAAGAAATTACTCTTACTAAAAAAGTCAATAAAACCCCCCCAAAGGGGTCCTAAACATGGACAATGGTGACATTTTTATCCACTAACACTCTGCATGATGACATACAGGGCAGAAAGGATGGATGAAATTTAAAAAGAATTGATACACATTTTCAAGGAGACAGCCAAAGAGTATGGGAAGTCACAAGCAGAAAGCATCTTATTTTCACTCCTGGCCTGTGGGATTCCTAGGAGGTATCCTGTACACAACCTATGAGACAGTGACAATGCTGACTTCAATATTAGGGGCCTTTCTGAGCTATGTCTAATTTTCTGGATAATTTTCAGGGAAACATCTGGAACCTGACAGTCTGAATATGTATCCCCATGGCTATGCTATGCAGCCTCTCACGCTAGATGGCATGAAAGTTACTAGACTCTTTCTGGATAATCTAATTTGTTAAAATATAACTTAGATTTGATGAAGTATATTTAAATCATTAACAGTTACATTTCTAAGAAAAATGGGTAAAGAAAGAAAAACTCAGACAGATAAAAGAGTAAACTGTTACAAATCCAAAATGCCAAATACCAAAATGGCATCTACTATGTTGTATTACATGGATACATTATCAATGACATAAACAATATTCTGTTATTTAATTATAATCAATGAGCGATCCCCACAGCTACGTTAATAGCTACCAGGGATTATGAATAACTTACCAGACTTGCTTAACACTTGTGGACCAACAGAGCTGGAGCCCCACGTGGATGTATTGGATGCCGCAGCAATGGGTTCCCCCCAGCTGGGACCACTGTCTATGGGTTTACCCCATGCTGAAGTACCATTATCCACAGTTGTGGCTGGAGTAGATGGCTCCCCCCAGGGCTCACCCCAGCCTTTAGAAAGTGTGGGAAAAGAAGTCATCAGCATATGGTAGGGAGGTACAGTGGAATATGGGACAATAAAGAATACTTAGGGAACAAAGGATGAAGTACTTCATGTTTATGCATTGAATAATGATGTTGTGACAGGCAAAAAAGATAGCATCTGTTTTATGTAAAGAAGACAAATGATTTCCCATTATTATAACCTAACTGTATGTTGTGACTGTTTTTTTTTTTCCCATCTCTTCTTTCATAATTGCCCTTTGGGCCTAGAGCACACTCTTGTGAATAACATTAAATAACAGCAAATCAATCTCCTTTGAGGATGAATTTAATTCCTGGAAATAGTCAAGTCATTCTGAGCCAAATCTAGTAAATTAAAGCAGGTGATCAAGCTGGGTAATTGCATGTCTGTAAAATTTTTACCAAAAGTACAACCTTTCAACATCCCTTACTGGAAAAACAATTAACTACAAGACTAACAATACGTAAGCATCCTTTTACATTTTATACGTGCTGAAGAATGTTTCTAAAAAAAATCTAAAGTATTAGGTTGTCCAAAGAAAAGAAAATTAAAACCATAAACATATTTTGTTTATAAGAACCAAAATAAACAGGCTTCCTGTTAGACACATACTTGTTTCTTCTATGAATTAAACCTAAATTAATTTATTTTTAATAAAATCTCGATTAACAAAGATAATGCATTCCAGTGACACTCTTGATGAAAACATAATTGTCAAGATAACATGCAGAAATAGGAATCAGTTCCTTGTTATGAGAGGAAAATGGGGATATACCAGAAAAATACTGCCAAATGTTTGAAGTACACACACATACATGCTGTATCTGGTAGACTTGGATTTCATGCCTACTTCTTAAATAAATCTCTTCTAAGGCCAAATATGTTGTTGTACGCTGTCAAGTCAATTCTGACTCAGAGACCCCATAGGACAGAGTAGAACTGTCTATAGGGTTTCATAGGCTATAAACTTTACAGGAGCAGACTGCCAGGTCTGTTCTCCTGCAGAGTCGCTGCTAGATTCAAACTGCTGACATTTCAGTTAGCAGCCAAGTGCTTAACCATTACTCGACCAGGGCTCCTTATGGTCAAATATAGTACCTAGTATTTAAGGTGTACTGTTGCTTCAAGTTGGAATCAACTCGACGGCAATGGGTTTGGTTGGTTTGGTACTTAGATAGGAGTCCTGGTGGCCCAGCACTTAGGAGCTAGACTGCTAACCAAAAGGTTGGCGGTTCGAATCCACCAGCTGCTCCTTGGAAACCCTATGGGGCAGTTCTCCTCTGTCTTATAGGGTCGCTATGAATTGGAATCAACTCGACGGCAATGGGTTTGGTTTGGGTTTTTTTGGGGTACTTAGATAGGAGCCCTGGAGGCACAGTGGTTAAGTACTCAGCTGCTAACCAAAGGTTGGCGGTCTGAACCCACCAGTCACTCTGCAGGAGAAAGATGTGGCAGTCTGCTTCCATAAAGGTTTACAGCCTTGGAAACCCTATGGGGCAGTTCTACTCTGTCCCATAGGGTTGCTATGAGTTGGAATCAACTCGATGGCAGTGGGTTTTTGGTTTTGGGTACTTAGATATTTATTTCTGGAGATATTTTGGTCAAGTAATAAAAACAAACAGTAACGGCCTGAGAAACATGTATAGCATTCCCACTTGACACTACTTTTCCAATTCTGCCTTCTGCAGCATTCTTAACAGAGAATGGAGTATGCAGAACTCACAGCCAATATCACCAAAAGAGAAGCACTGTTCCCTGGCAGTAAATACCTTCCTTAAAGTTTTCTCAAGGTTCTTCAGGATTAGAGTAAAAAAGATCTGTGTTTGTATAGTCAAACAGTTCATTAAACAGATCTTATAATATAAACTGAAACCAGGCTTACTCTCAGACTATTGTGAAATATTTTGAATACCGTTAAGACTCCACAAAACAAAAACTTACCGGAGCCACTGCTTGCCTCTTTGTTTGAGATGGCACTTGCAGATGGTAGCAGCTGATGTACCTGTGCTTGCTGGTCTGAACGGCTGCTGCCATTGGGGATGTTTTTGTTCCACATGTTCACATTTTTGTAGTTGTATTTGCTTGGATCTCCCCAAGCTGAAGTTCCATCATCAATCTCCATCTTGCGACGTATGGATTCTGGGGATGGCTCCTCCCAGCCTGTGGGCTCTTCCTCTTTTGCTGGGGCCGGTATAGGTCCCCCGAGCCAGCCTGTGCCAGGAGGTTTGCCTGTAGCTGGTGGGATTCCCCAAGATCCAACAATGTCTTGTTGCTTGTTCCAGTCTGGAGAATTGACTGGCTTTGACGAATCTCCCCAACCTAGAGACTGATTAGACTTTGGAGGGTCTCCCCATCCCTGGGAAGGATTAGATTTAGAAGATTCATCCCATCCTGATGAATTATTTGGATTTATGTTATTTCCCCAAGTAAAAGAACTAGTTTTACCAAGTTCGTTCCAACCAGAAACGGACCTGTCACTGTCACTACCTCCTGAGCTGGATTTCTTATTAGCCTCACCCCAATGGTTGCTCCTTGAAGTCTCTCCCCAATTGTCAGTGGCAGAAACGGACCACCCTTGGTTTGATTTTTGTCCATCACCCCATCCCTGTTTGCTCTTTTGCGAATCATTCCATGTGGACTTCTCTTCTTTGCAATTCCCCCACTGATTGCTCTTGACCGTTCCTGTAGCAGCAGAATCATCTTCCCATCCCCCCTGGCAGTTTGAGCCTTTGGAATCTCCCCACCTCAGAGTAGGTTTGGGATCTCCCCACCCCGATACAGATGAGGTATCATTACTATTAGGGCTAGTCTTATCTACACATGCCCCTGAGTTAAAAGTCTGTGTTGCAGAGCTTCCCCAGGCCTCTGTCCCATTGTCAGTCTTTCTTTCCCCCCTAGGTGATGTCTCAGTATCCCAGGCAGTATTCTGCTTAATAGGAGTCTGTCCCCAACCAGAGTTGGATAGGACACGTGGATCTAAGTCAGTTCTGTTTACAATGCTTTGGAGTAATGTGTGCTGATCAATTTTTCTTCTATCTCTACTCTGACTCTCCCCAGTTACTTTTTCCTCAAGGCGTCCAGTGCTTTCTGTACTACCTTCACTCTCCACTGTACCTCCTGTTTTGGCCCACACACTGTTTTGCTCATTTGTCTGGGATGTGGTAGAACCCTGATCCTCTTCCTCAGTAGATTTCCATCCATTTGTAAACTTCTTACCATTGCCGTTTGCACTATCATTGGAATGCTGATTGCTAGGCAGTTTGTTCCACTCCACGCTGGGTATATTAGTGCCAGTGTTTTGTGCAGGGGTTCCCCAACCTCTTCGACTTCCTCCAGAATTTGCACCATTTCCACTTCCCCATGATGCACTCTGGGAACTTGCGGCCCCAGACTCCCACACCCCGCCTCCTTTATTTGTGTTAACTTGAAAGTTAGTGCCCATAGGCCCATTTATGCCAGGCTGCATTAGAGTTGCATTCACAGTGTCACCATTAGCTTGGCCATTAGGGCCAGAACCTTTGTCTGCAGAGTAATTAGAACCATAGGGACCCCATGTAGTACCATAAGAGCCTCCATTTTTTGACTCTCCATTGCTAAGGTGAGAAATGGAAGTGCCATTCATAACTGATGGAGCCTGTATCTGAGGATGATTCATTGTGCTCACACGCCAGGCCCCTGAATTACTAGGCAGTTCATTATTCTGTACTGAACCGGAGTTTGGTAAACTAGAGGTCATAAAGTTAGTAGTGTTATTTGGTCCAGTCATTTCAGTGGTAATATTTTGAGGTTGACCACTGAATGAAACCTTCTGTGTACCACTTACTTCAGATTCACAAGTTTCCTGAAGGCTTCCCCAGGTACCATGGGTAGAAGAACCACCCACTTTAGAGTTAATACTCTGATTGTTAGACATCTGGCCTATGGTACTGCACTGAATATTGATGCCAGCACTACCACTCCCTACAGGCCCTTTTAGGGCAAGTCCATTATTTTCTAATATCGGCCAGGCACCATGGTTGCTAGCTGAATTCAAAGTGCTTGGATTTAACCCTCCATTTGATGAAGAACTTACAGTGCCCCAAGCATTCATTCTATTGTTGCTACTTTCTGATTTGCTTTCAGGAGCATCCACAGAGACCTGACATGTGCTTATTATGGCTCCATGGGAAAAACCCCATGGCCCAGTACTACTTCCATGGCCCACATTATTGCTGTTGCTACCAACCACAAACTTGTTTTGGGAACCTAGTCCAGTGCTATTCCGAAGACCATCTTTTTCACCACCTGTGCTCCCTGAAGCCATGATAGTGATGTTTCTCTGTGATTCAGAACTGGAGGCAGAATCAGCATCCATACATTCTGAAGCCAACTCTGGATCACTGCCAGGGATTGAGGGCCATACTTCTTTTTCAGAAGAGTCGTTTACAATAGCATTCTTACAGTTTGTGCTAGAGTCACTCGTAGAAGACGCAGGTCCACGCTGGGAATTTTCATAATGGGATCCTGAAGTACTGTGGTTTATATCTAGAATAAAGGAGAAGCACAACACTTTATGAAGTGTTAGTCATTTTCAAAGTGATGCTAAAAATCTAAGAAAAATGATGAATCTATTATATATGTCTGTGGTTTCTCAACTGTAACAAGATATGATACTTAACAATATAATTTCAAGGGCATTGGTTATCTCCCAGCCACCAATTTTCCATATCCAGTAATTCCACACAAGTAGGAATTTGCTGCATTGATGTTATCCTAACAGCCGAGACCGGAGCCTGGAACATAATAGTCCCCCAATAAATATCTGCTGAATGAACAAACTGCTAACTAACAGCAAGTAAAAGAATCCTGGAGTCAGGTAGGGTGGCTGTAAAGTATTAGGATAATGGAGCAACCCACACCCACAGGCTTGACATGGGAAAGAAGGGCTTGCAATGTATAGCATGGGTAAGCATAAATGAACAGGCCAAACTTGATGAATAAGCCTATTATTAGGAATAAACCTATTCATTATGTTTTTACGTCTTTCCTTGCCTAGAATAGCTTTTCACACAACTGTTTTGGGCATTATAACAAGATTATAAGAATTCCAAAGCCTTTTCCATCATATTTCAATTTTATTAGTGTCCATATTCAACGTGAAATACTGCATACAAATAAGAATATCTTCAGTACTTTCCACTCCCCCTCATAAAAATTTATCTTTATAACCACGTTCATTAAGAGACAACAGAAAATAATGGTTAATTGATATACTGAAGATTACAGAATTATTATGATCAAAAATTCAACTGCTGATACTGAAGACCATTATTAACCAGTGATATAATCCTATAATCTCAGACTTACTGCTACATATTATATCGAGTTGTTTTACGAAAGGTCGGGCAGTTATAGTGTTCCGATAGTTCCCTATATTTGTTATTCTCATTCAGTTTAAAAATCAGGTAGTCAGAAATTCCTCAGATATTAACCTGCAAAAGATGTTTGCATTTAGATTGTCTTCAGGGGGTTGCTTACATTGTGGGTTGCATTGCGATTGTCTCTAGCAGGTTGCTTACACTGTGGGTGGCATTGAGACTGTCTTTAGGGGCTTGCTTATATTGTGGTTCTCTACTACAACAGGAATCAGAATAACACGTAGGGCTTTTAAATCATACACATGCTCAAGTCATGTCCCAGGCCTAAAGAATCAACCTCCAGGGATTGTAGGCTTAGGAAATAATGTAACTCACTATTAGGGTATTGCTAATACGGAAATCAGAGCACTGGCGGCTCAGTGGTTAAAAGTGCTTGGTTGCTAACTGAAAGGTTGGTGGTTCAAACCCACCAGCCACTCCATGGGAGAAAGATGTGGTAGTCTGCTTCCATAAAGATGTACAGCCTTGGAAATCCTACTGGGCAGTTCTACTCTGTCCTATACGGTTGCTGTGAGTAGGAATCGATTCAATGGCAGTGGGTCAATACGGAAATCAGATCCAACTTATGTCATTTTCTCTCAAAGCAATATTGTTAAGAAGCAAAAGATGGTGAGCTAGAAAGAGTAAGAGGAAAAAGAGACTAGAGAAAGATCAGAAATACATGTAGATTTTAAAGCACCACAGGTGATTCTGATTTCCACACTCTGTTTAAGAATCATTTCTTAAAGGTGACGAATAAAGCTTGTCATCTGTCAGGGCCCAATGCCCACAATTTTCTCATAAAAAAAGGGTGCCAAAATGTCAGTCAATCTCACTGGGTAAACACAGATCAACACATCAGCACCTGGACCCACACCTGCACAACTAGTACACACCAAAGAATGCTCAGCATTTACTTCCATGTATCATGGGCACTCTTCTCACTGAATCTTCCCAACAACCATAGAGCACAGGTATTATTCTCACTTGGCAGATGAGAAATTGAGACTCAGGGGTTACCTTGTGGAAAATCAAGTGAGAAACACAGGATTCATCGGGGGTAATAAAGCAAGGTGGCTAAGAATACGGCTGGAACTCTAGAGATACCTAGGTTCAAGTTTGAGTTCTATTTAGCAGCTATATGATCAGATCTCCAAAATGGGTATATGAATAGTACTACTTTACCTGGTTATGTCATTACTCATATTATCAGATATAAAGCATTTAGCTCAGTAACTGCTGCAATTAAAGTGCTCCATAAAAGCAGTTCAGTGTACTGATCAAGAGCACAGACTCCGTATGACTGCTTGGGTTTAAAACTCAATCTACCATTTAATAGCTGTCTGACCAAAGGCAAGATTCTCAACCTTTCTATGCCTTAGCTTCCTCATTTGTAAAGTGGAAATAGTAATAGTACTTATCTCAGACTGTTGCGAGGATTAAACGATTAACAAATTAAAGTGCTTTAACCATATCTGACCTGGATTAGGTGCTTACTAAATGAGGATCATTATATCATTAATGAATGAATGTTAATCACTTTTCAATGCTGTCTCCAAAGCACGTTTTTCACTCCACCACGTCTCTCTCATGAAGAACAAAACGAGAAATCATGTAACGACCTACTTACTTGAAATCTCCACTTAGGTATATCAAACAGAACATTAACTCCTGGATTACACCCCCCGCCCCAGACGCCTCCTCCCAAAGGGGAAAAAAATCCCACTTCTTTACTAGTTTTCCTCATCTCAGTAAGCTTCCTAAAACCTAGAATTTATCGATCCTCCCTGTGCACAGCTAAATTCAAAACATCACCAAGTACCAAATCCACTTAATTTTCTACAAATCTAAAAGAGAGTCAAGCCATCATCATCATCATCCTCTCACAGACTATTACAAAAGTATTTCTCCTACCATTATTTGCTTCATTGTGTGTATGTCTCCATTACCATAAGGCAGGAGTAAGAAACTAAGACTGGGCGTCAGAAACAAAATTACCCATGTTGAAAGTAAAGGAAATGGACTCAGTATAAACAAAGACATATCAGAAGCGTTCCTATGAGGACACGAACAAGACAACACTACTCCTCAACCCTGTGCTGGAAGTACTGACCAATGACATACGACTCCCAAAAATGAGAGGTATACATACTAGAAAAGAGACATAAAAAGGACAATACATAAATGGCAACAGTTTGCTACACAGCAATGAGAAAATGTGATGCCAAAAAAAAAAGATCCTAATTATAAAAGCCACAACAACTATAAAATAACCTGGAATAAAGCTAACAAAAATACTTAAGAGTTCTATATGATTAAATTTTACTTGAGAACATAAAAGACACCTTGATTAAGTACAGAAACATATTCCTACATGGAAAGATATAATAATGCTTTTTCTAAGTTTAATTAAGAAATTGTTATCAAGAGTTTGTAACTCAATGAAAGGTGATCTCAAAATTCATGCAAAACCAATGGAAGAAAAACCAAAAAAAAAAAAAAAAATCTGAAAAAAAGAGTTATGAGGGAGGAAATCGGCATTATTGTACAATAAACAACATTGTACTGTCAGAGTATACAAGCTCTTCAACTGAACAAAAGAAGTAACCCAGAAACAGACTCAAGTGTAAGAATTTAGTATATGTGAAAGGTTAGCATTCTAAATCAGTGGAGGAAAGGATTATTCAATAGTTAAAAAGTATTTTTAAACTGAGACAATATATCAATAATCCCAAATGATTAAAACATTGAAAGTAAAAAAATAAAACCATGAAAATTTTTACATAAAATCAAAGAAAGAAACCATAAAAGAAATTACAGAGATTTGACCACTTCTTAAAAAAAAAAGGAACTTTTTTTTTCAGAATACACCAAAAGCAAAACAAAAAAGCAAAGAAACAATAAAATACATTTTGGAAACTAGTTCTCACAGTCAGAAAACAAAGTTAGTGAAAATTTCTCTCAGATTCTGGTCCTGACCTGGTTTAGAAGCAGTGGTGGTGCTTTTTGCTATATCTTCCTACGTATTTTAGGAAAATAGAGGCGAAGTATCAGCAGAATGAATGAATGAATAGAATAAAATTCTATTTTTAATTTGGAACCTACTTGATACTTTCAACAAAACTGTATTAAAAGGCTATTTTAAAAACTGAGTTACCAAGAATGGGTCACAAGGGTCTTTTTGGTTAAGAAAAAGGTTGTAGTTTAGAAAGAAAAATTAAAAGGTGGGGAGAAGGAGAGACATTATTCTAACTGAAGAAGTAAAAACAGCAAGACTCCTCAGAATCAGTCAGAGACGATTTCAGAGTTAGAAGAAACAAGCCAAATAACATACTTTCCTTATAGCCAAGGAAGCCAAAACCCATCATTACAGATAATCTGGAGAATAAACAGAAACATCAAAATGTAGAAGATGAGCACTAAGCTTTTCAGGGCAACAGTGCAAACCAGTAAGAGTATAAAACTCTGTGCTAGCAGGGAGGAAAGGGGGCAGTGTAAATACAAAATACCAATTTTTATACACTGTACTGCTGTAGGCAAAATAACATTTGGAAGGTCACATGTTACTAAGACACATTTGAAATCCAAAATGTCATCAGCATCCTACTCTCAAACACAGTTACCAGAGAACTGGGGACAGCAGTAGTACCACATCTCAAAAAGAATAGTGTGTTACAGAGCACCTGTTCAGAAAGATTAAAGAGGCTATGTGAGGCAGAGGAAAGACTGATAATTCAAGTGATTAAGAAAGAAACAACATTATTTATTTAGGAAGATCCGTGGAAATTCATGTATTTTTCTTATTAAATGTATAGTATGTAACAAGTAAAATAATTTAACATGTGCTTTCTGCCTTTAAGGCTTTCAATCTCACCAGAAGGGAAAGCGCTTTAGAAGTAACTAGTACCTAAATTTTGCAGTATTTCTAGGAAGTATGATAAAGTATCACTAGGAATAAGAAAGAGAACCTTACAGGCCCTATTTTAAATAACACTTAAGTGAGAAAGTTCAAAACATCTCTTTCAGTATCTAGTCTCTAGCCCAGGTGTCAGCAAACTTTTTCTATAAAGGTTCAGATAGTAAATAGTTTCAGCTTTGTGAGCCAGAAGGTCTCTGTGGCAACTACTC